TTATTGTTAACCGTAGTCATCATGCTGTAGATTATATTCCCAGAACTTATTTATCTTATAATTGGAAATTTGCACCTTTTGACAACCTTCACCCAGTTCCTCCACCCCACTCCCCCACCTCTGGCAACCACAAATCTGATCTCTGTTTCTATGATTTTTTTTTAATTCCACATATAAGTGAGATACAATGTTTGCCTTTCTCTATCTGACTGATCTCACTTAGTGTAATGCCCTCAAGGTCTATTCAGGTTGTCACAAATGCTAGGATTTCCTTCCTTCTTATGCCTGAAAAATATTCATATGATATATATAATGATTTCTTTATCCATTCATTCTGTTGTTGGACACTTAGGTTGTTTCCATGTCTTACTTATTGTGAATAATGTTGAAATGAATATGGGAGTACAGATATCTCTTTGGGACTGTGATTTCAGTTTCTTTGGATATATATACATACCCCCGAGTGGAATTGCTGGATCATGTGGTAGGTCTATTTTTAATTTTTTGAGGAAAGTCCATTCTGTTTTGAATAGTGGCTGTACCAACTTATATTTCCACAACAATGCACAATATCTACATCCTCGCCAGCAGTTGTTATCTCTTGTCTTTTTGATAATAGCCATTTTAACTGGTATGAGTTCATAGCTCATGGTTGTTTTGATTTGCATGTCCCTGATGATTAGTGATGTTAAGCACCTTTTCATGTACCTGTTAGCCATTTGTATTTCTTCTTTGGAAAAATGTCTATTCAGGTCTTCTGCCTATTTTTTAATTGGATTATTGAGTTTTCATAGTTCCTGTGGATATTAACCCCTTATTAGATATGTGATTTGCAAATATTTTCTCCTGTTTCATGGGTTGCCTTTCATTTTGTTGATCATTTCTTTTGTTGTGCAGAAACTTTTTAGTTTGATATAATCTCACTTGTTTATTTTTGCTTTTGTTGCTTGTGCTTTAGGTGTGATATCCAAAAAAATCGTTGCCAAGACCCATGTCAAGGAGCACTTTCTCTATGTTTTATTCTAGGAATTATGGTTACAGGTCTTACATTTAAGTCTTTAATCCATTTTGAGTGAATTTTTATGAGGGGTGTAAGATAGGGGTCTAGTTCCTTATTTGCTTGTGAATATCCAATTTTCCCAGCACCGTTTATTGAAAAGGCTGTCTTTTCTCCATTGAGTATTTTTGGCTCCATTGTCAAATATTAGTCGATCTTATATGCATGGGTTTATTTCTGGGCTCTTGATTCTGTTCCGTTGGTTTGTGTGTCTGTTTTTATGCCAGTACCATATTGTTTTTATTACTATATCTTTGTAATATAGTTTGAAATCAGGAGTGTAGTGCCTCCAGCTTTGTTCTTCTTTCTCAGGATTGCTTTGGCTCTTTGGGGTCTTTTGGGTTCCATATTAATTTCAGGACTGTTTGTTCTATATTCTGCCATTAGAATATGACAGGGATTGCATTGAATCTATTAATGGTTTTGGATACTAGGGACACTTTAACAATATTAATTTTTCCAATCATAAGCACAGGATATCTTTCCATTTACTTGTGTCTTCTTCAATTTCTTTCATCGACGTCTTACAGTGTTCAGTGCGAGTTCTTTCACCTCCTTGGTTAAACCTATTCCTAAGTATTTTATTGTTTGTGATGCTATGTAAATGGGATTGTTTTCCTTATTTCTTTTTCAGATAATTCATTGTTATCGTATAGAAATGCCACTGGTTTTTGTATGTTGATTTTGTATCCTGTAACTTTACTAAATTTGTTGATTAGATATAATAGTTTTTTGGTGGACTTATTAGAACTTTCCATATATGAAATTATGTAATTTGCAAATACACACAATTTCAATTTTTTTTTTCAATTATGATGCCTTTTATTTTTTTTCTTGCCTGATTGTCCTGGCTAGGATCTAGCACTGTGTTGAATAGGAATGGTAAGAGTGGTCACCTTTGTCTTCTTCCTGATCCTTGAAAAGAAGCTTTCAAACTTTCACCTTTGAGTATGATGCTAGATGTAGGCTTGTTATATATGGCCTTTATCATGTTGAAGTAAGTTCCTTCTATACCTAATTTGTTGAGAATTTTTATCCTGAATGGATGTTGAATTTTGGCAAATACTTTTTTTGCATCTATTGAGATGATTATATGATTTTTATATTTCGTTCTATTAATGTGATGTATCACATTTATCAATTTGTATATTTTAAATTGTCCTTGCATTCCAGGAATGAACCCTGCTTGGTCATGATATATGATCCTTTTAATGTGCTTTTGAATTCTGTTTGCTAGTATTTTTTTGAGAATTATTTACCTGTATTCATAAGAGAAGTTGGTCTGTAGTTTTTTTTCTTATAGCGTCCTTTCTGGCTTTGGTATCAGGGTAACACTGGCCTTGTAAAATGAGTTTGGAATTGTTCTTTTCTCCTCAATTTTTGGAAAACTTTTGAGAAGGATTGGTATTAATTCTTCTTTAAATGTTTGGTAGAATTCACCAGTGAAGCCATTGGATCCTGGTCTTTTCCATGTTGAGAGGTTTTTTTTTTTTTTTTTTTTATTGCAGTAACATTGGTTTATAACATTGCAAAAATTTCAGGTGTACATCATTGTACTTCTATTTCTGCATGGACTACATCATGTTCACCACCAAAATACTAGAGGTTTTGATTACTGATTCAAGCTCCTTACATTGTACTAGTCTGTTCAGACTTTCTGTTTCTTCCTGGTTCAATTTTGGTAGGTTGTATGTTTCTAGGAATTTATCCAGTTCTATATTGTCCAGTTCGTTGTCATATAATTTTTCATAGTAGTCCCTTATAATCCTTTGTATTTCTGTGGTATCAGTTGTCTCCTCTTTCATTTCTGATTTTATTGATTTGGGTCTTCTTTTTTTCTTCATTAGTCTAGCCAGAGGTTTGTCAATTTTGTCTATCTTTTCAAAGAACAAACTCTAAGTTTTGTTAACCTTTTCTATTGTTTTCCTTTTCTCTACTTCATTTAATTCTGCTCCCTATCTTTATTATTTCCTTCCTTCTACTAACTCTGGGTTTAGTTTTTCTTCTTTATCTGCATCCTACAGGTGTAAAGTTAGGTTGTTTATTTGAGATCTTTTTATTTTCTTTATGTATTTATAGCTATAAATTTTCCTCTGAGAACTGCTTTTGCTTCATCCTATAAGTTTTGGTATGTTTTGTTTCCATTTTTATTTGTCCTAAGATACTTTTTAATTTCTCTTTTAATTTTTCTTCTGTACATTGGTAGTTCAGGAGTGTGTTGTTGAATTTCCACGTACTTGTGAATTTTCCAATTTTCCTCCTGTTGATTTCTAGTTTTATATAATTGTGGTCAGAAAATATACTTGGTATGACTTTAAACTTTTTAAATTTGTGAAGACTTGTTTTGTGGCCTAATATATGATCTATCCTAGAAAATGTTCTTGTCGCACTTCAGAAGTGTGTGTATTCTGCTGTTGTTGGATGGAATGTTATGTAATGTAGAACAGGCTCCAAAGCCAGCATATCTTGTCATTTGGGCTCCCAAATCAGGAAGAACTGTGCACCAAGTTCCCTGGTCAAATGGAGCTGGCAGCTCGGCTCTGCAGATGGGGAAAGCCACTGGCCAGGCTCCTTGAATGTTGCTGGGCTATGCAGCTTCCCAGGTGTTTCAGCCAGGTTTCCTTGTTGGGTGGGCCTGGGGAACACACTTAGCAGTAGGTAAGCCTATGAATTTTCTTCCCTGCCTGGGTGGGGTGGCAGAATAAGCTCCAAGGGCAGCAAAGTCAGAAAACCCTGATGTTAGGAGTTCTGAATCAGGCAGAACTATACACTGAATTCCCTGGACAAAGGAAGCCACTGTCCTGGCTCTGCAGATGGGTAATGCTGCTTACTGAGCTCTACATTCAAGTGCTGCTGGACTACACAGTTTTCCAGGTGTTCTTACCACCTTGTTGAGCCAGGCCGGGGGGTTACACTCAGCAGTAGATGGGGCTATAAATTTGTTCCCCTGCCTTAGTGGAGCATAAGGACAGGCTCCAAGACCAGAAAGTCTCACCATATGGGGCCCCAGGTTGGGTAGAACTGCACACGAAGTTACCTGGTCTGATGGGACTACCATCTAGGATCTGCAGATGGGCAAAGCCTCTGGTTGGGATTTCTACCTGGGTGTCACTGCAAAAAGGAACTCAGTCTGCAAAGATCTGAGAACTGGCGGCTCTAAGTCCTGCCCCCCTTCTCCATCACAATCTGATTCCCAAAGTTCAAACCCCATAGATTCCCTCATGATCTCTGGGAGGTGAGAGCAGGAAGAGCGTCCCAATAAGTGACCACAATTCTGAGGGAGCTCAATGTCCACCTTGGACTTTCTTTTACCCACTGGGGAAACCATTGGCCAAGAAGGGTTCTCTTAGTGTGGCACTGTGTCAGCAATGGGGAGGCAGAGTGTAGCTACTCCTCTACTGTTCTAATATGGTGTCTCTTGGTTGCTGTGATTCAGGATGGTGCTTCATCCTCAGCCCCGTGTTCTAGGATTTTCACAGTGGTGTCTTGTCTATGAATAGTTGCTAGTTGTTCTTCTGGTGAGGAGGACTAAAGTCAGGATGGACCTATGTTGCCATCCTGATGATGTCACAGAACTAAAACTCAAAGTCTGACCCTTAATCACAGTACTTTGCTGTGTCCTAAGACACAAAATATCCTAAAATTGAGACAATAGTTGAGGCCAATAGTGACTTGTACTAGCTTTTCTTTGGAATAGTTGTCAGTCAATCTTCAAATATCTATTTAATTTTCATGAGACCTCATGAAATAATTGAGAACCTGAAACACCATGCAGGTATGTCTTGATATTCAAGATGAAAAACTGGGGTCTTTCTACCAAGACAGTGAAGTATTTCTCCTTTTCCAGTGCTGAAGGGAGGGAAAAAATGGCACATATGAGAATTGTAATGCTGTCACTTCACCTGAATCTTGTCTATTTTCTGATTTTAGGAGGACCAAGCCAATGATTGGGAGTGGAAATATTACAGACATCACCCATTTCATCCTCTTGGGATTCTCGGATTTCCCCAGAATCATAGCGGTGCTCTTTGTTGTCTTCCTGTTGATCTACATTATGACTCTGATGTGGAACCTGAGCCTCATCACCTTAATAAGGATAGATTCCCACCTCCACACGCCCATGTACTTCTTCCTCAGTAATCTGTCCTTCATGGATATTTGCTATGTGACCTCCACAGTCCCCAAGATGCTCTCCAACTTCTTCCAGGAGCAGCAAACTATCACCCTTACAGGTTGTGCTATTCAGTACTTCGTCTTTTCAACCACGGGACTGAGTGAGTCTTGTCTGATGACAGCCATGGCTTATGACCGATATGCTGCCATTTGTAATCCACTTCTCTATTCATCCATCATGTCACCCACCCTCTGTGTTCAGATGGTGCTGGGGTCCTATATGGCTGGACTCTCTGCTTCTATATCTCAATTGTGTGCCATGTTTCAGCTCCACTTCTGTGGGCCTGATGTCATCAACCACTTCTTCTGTGACATGCCCCAACTGTTAGTCCTGTCCTGCACTGACACTTTCTTTGTACAACTCATGACTGCTATATTAACAATGATTTTTGGGATAATAAATGTCTCAATCATCATGGTATCCTATGGCTATATTGTCATCTCCATTATGAAGATCACTTTAGCTAAAGGCAGGTCTAAGGCTTTCAACACCTGTGCTTCTCACCTGACCACAGTGACCCTCTTTTATACCTCAGGTATGTTTGTCTATTTAAGTTCCAGCTCTGGCAGTTCCTCCAGCTTTGACAGATTTGCATCGGTCTTCTACACTGTGGTGATTCCCATGTTGAATCCCTTGATTTACAGTCTGAGGAATAAGGAAATCAAAGATGCCTTGAAGAGGTTGCAAAAGAAGATAAAGTATTGCTGAGGTCACAAATTATGAGATTTCTGAGATTTGTCTTGTCAAAATCACCTCAACTGATGATAATATGCATGAGTGGACTATAACAAAATTCGTACTGACTTTGGACAAAGAAGGCTTAATTTGACACAGATAATATGCCAAAATGGACCAACAATTGACTCACTGCCACACAAACACTACATCTTTAAGTCCTGGAGGTTCATTACTTTCACCTTGTGAAAAGTGGCCTCATCATTTATTAATCTATCTGCAAGTATTTGTGAAACATCAAGGTTTAGAAACTTCTTTCTTTTCTTTGCTTCTGAGAAAAAGCCTTGTTTAATCTCAAGCCTAAAGAAGAGATACCTGACAGTGGCACATGGGAATATAGCAACCTTGTCTCCGAAATATTTTGATGCAGCATAGTCCAGACATGGTGGTGACCAATGTTTGTTCTGTGTTTCTGACTAGAATGGGAACGAACAGAGAGACAAGATTCTGTCTTTGGACAGAAAGAAAGCTATGCAATTGGCCTGGTTGTGCATCCTGGGAAGACCAGTCTGTGATAGCTAATGTTTGTCTAAGGCTTCTTTCAATGCTAATCATCTAATAAGTTTTTGGTTACATCCTAGTCTCCACCAGCTGTAGTCTAAGGAAAGAGGAGGTGATTTGAATCATAAAGAGGAATAAAATGATGTATGTGATCCCTTCCTTGTCATTTACTTATGAATCTGATAATTTAATTTCTTATGTCTAATGGCCAGTGATGATGTTCAAAATCCATGTCACACTCAATAGAAATTTTTGATACTGTGGGACTCAAACCTCCCTTTCTCCCCCATTAAATCTAGAAAATTTACCCTTGGTTGACATATCCAATGGGATCATACCACAAAAATTGTTTCTGATATTTTAAACATCTGTTCAAGTTTGGTGTGAGGATACTTGTGTGAGAAGTTATTGTAATAATAGAATCACTGAATATTCAATATTTCAGAGACTAAGAATGTGAAAAACTGGTATACATTTTTTCTATTATCGATATTCAATGTTTTATGTCCTAGAGATTTATGGTTGTATGGAGGATATAATGGTTGGAGTAGAATTAATAGAGTTACTTTAATGCTGATATTTTTCAGGTAGCCTTGAGGACCAGAAGAGGAAATAGAAAGTGAGATAGGCAGAGTTAAGAACTCTGCCCAGTTATCACTACTTGAAGGAGAAAATAAGCTTTGTGGCTCTAGTGGTCTGGTTAAAAAGGGGAACAAGATGTGTAACAACATTGATGTTGATTTGAGAGGTTGCCCAGACTTGAACAAACTGATGTAAAACAGATGTCATTAACTTGACATATTGTCCTTGGAGATTCATTGGATTCTTAATGAATATTTTCGGAGTCTCAATTTCAATGAGTCACTTGAATTATTCTTTTTAATTAAGGACTGTAAGTGAAGAGCTTTTTGATGCCTTTGCCAAATCTTTCATGAGTTTACATATAGACAGGATTGAGAGAAGGGCAATTGTTGAACCTCTGGGAGAGAGCAGGTGGCCTTACCCCACGCCAATGAAATGGTAATATGAGTAAAGGATGTTTGCTCACATCCAGGCATAGGTATGTTCTTTGAATCATTGCTCTTCACAAATGTTTAAGAATGTAGAAGTCTGTTTCTAAGTGGCCATGAGAGCTTCCTTATTAGACAGAACTCTGCTACATATTAGTGGAGGATTTTCCATAATATTTCACAGATGTACCTCTTTATGGGTTCAGATGAGCTCAGGGAGGTTATGAATAGCAGATGCTGATGATAATTGGAACTTAATCTTCTGGAAGCTGCTGTCGATGGGTGAGGTCTCTGGGAACTACTGTCTTCCAAGAACTGTCTCCATGGGCTGCTGTTGAGAACCATTAGCTAGAAGTACTGATGGGAAATGCCATTAAAGTATTATTTTAAAGAAAAAAATGGGGAAAATAAAACAATTATTCAGACTTGCCCCTGAAGAACATTTAGACCAATGATATATTCCAGATTCTACTCTTAGATGAACCACATATTCTAAATTAAGTCAGTCTATGGGACTAAAAAGATAGTTTAGCTTGCTCACAGTAATTGCACAGAGATTTCACCATATAATATCACAGAAGAACAGTCAATCTGCCAGCCTTCACAAGGGTTGCTAGACAAATACATCAAAGTGGGTGGTAAGGATGAAAAGAGCAATAAGAAAGATTTCTTGTGCTCATTATCTACATTTTAGATGTAGTTCAGTGGAAAATGATTGAAAGAGACCCACAGACCAAGAAGGGTGAAAAGAATAGAACTCACATGAATTATCAGTCGGTCAATGGAAGGTTCAGCCAAGAGGAGGAGCTTGACCTCATTTTGCAGGATTTATTTGACAAAAGAGAAGAGCATTCCTGGCAGGAGTAAATAGAAAAGTGGAGTGGGCTGAATGTACAGAGGGGTATCATTGAGATCCACAGACCATAAGGATGAAAAGTTGAACATGAGTTTTAGCATAAAGACTCTCAGAATTTCACTTTGTGTTTAGTCAAGTCAAAGAGCCTGAATCATTGAGATCCTAGGGGTTGATAGTGTTTCCTCATTCTCATAGCTGACTTCTTGGCCCAAATAATCTTCCTAAAACAATTCTAATAACCTTTCTAAGGTACTGAACACTTTCATCTTTTTCAAATGCTTTCAATGATGTTCTATTATTAATATTGTACAAAGTAAATATAAAACTCAATATTCGTTAGGATATTTTTTAAAAGACTACTTAGACCAAGAGATCATTTATGAAAATTAATAGAAATTTGAATCCCAAGAAGCTTTGGCGTCATCTGATTTTGAAAGTTCACATGCTCACACACACTGATAGGTCTAAATAATAGAGAAGGAAAATCAGAGCCCTGGAAGAGGGCAGGACTCATTTGAGACATACACATGGTTCGCTTAATAGATTCCAAGTCTCCAGACTTTTAGATCTCCCTGAAATATGTAGCTGAGTCTGTGCACAAGATGAGAATTTAGTTTTCAGCCCTCTGGGGGATGAATTATTAAAATTGTGATTCCTGATGCACAATCTAGGTGAATAAATTTTGAAAGTATTTGAATGAAGCTGTTGGTAGGATTAGAGTTAAGAAAGTACGTAACATTAATATCATTTTGAAATTTATTTATTTTATTTTAATAGTTAGCTTTAAATTTTTATTGGAAAATAATTGACATAAACGTCGTACGAGTTTAAGGTGTACAATATGCTGATTAAATACACTTATATGCTGCTATATGATAACCACCACAGCATTTGCTAACAATTCTATCACGTTATATAATTATCATTTCTATTTTGTGGTGAGAACATTTAAGATCTGGCCTCTACATACACTTTGAAGCATATAATACAGTATCGTTGACTATAATCACTATGCTGTGCATTATATCTCCAGAATTTATTCATCTTTTAATAACGTTTGTACACTTTACAAACATCTCCCCAATTTTGCTGTTCCCAGCCCCTGACAACCACCATTCTACTCTTTCTTTGTACAAGTTGGGCATTTTTAGATTCCACATATTGGTGATATCACACAGTATTTGCCTTTCCCTTTCTGGCTTATCTCTCTTAGCATAATGCCCTCAAGTTCCATCCATGCTGTCACAAATGGCAGGATTTCTTTCTTTCTCATAGCTTAATAATATTTTATTTTATATATATACACATCTTCATCCATTCATTCATTGATGGACACTTAGACTGTTTCTATATCTTGGCTTTGTGAATAATGCTGCAATAAACATGAGAGTGCACATATCTTTTTGATATTCTGCTTTCATTTCCTTTGGATAGCTACTCAGAAGTGGAATTGCTGGATCATATGGTAGATCTATTTTTAATTTTTTGAGGAGCCTCCATACTGTGTTTAATAGTGGCTAAACCAACTTACATTCCCATCAACAGTGCACCAGGGTTCACTTTTCTCCACATCCTCACTAACACTTGTTATCTCTTAACCTCTTGATGATAGCCATTCTAACAGGTGTGAATTAATATCTCATTGTGGGTTGAATTTGCATTGCCCTGATGTTTAGTGACATGGTGCATCTTTCATGTGTCTGTTGGCCATTTGGATGTCTTCTTTAGAAAATTATCTATTCAGTTCTTCTGCCCATTTTTTAATTGAATTGTTTGGTTTTTGTTATTGAGTTGTATGAATTCTTTATATATTTTGGATATTAACCCTTTACCTGATAAATAGTTTGCAAACATTTCTCCCATTCTATAGGTTGCCTTTTCATTTTGTTTGTGTATTCGTTAATAAATTGTAGTAGTTATAATTACTTTTAATACCCTTTTCCTTAACATTTATACTATAGTTGAGCTGCTAACACACCTCATATTACAGAATTAGAGTGTTGTAATTCTGACTGTATATTTACCTTTATCAGTGTCATATATTTTCATATGTTTTCATGTTACTCTTTAGCATATTTTCATTTCAGCTTGAGGAACTCCTATCATCATTTCTTGCAAGGCAGATCTAGAGGTGATAAGCTCCCTCAGCTCTTGTTTCTCTGGAAGAGTATTTCTCCTTCCTATCTGAAGGGTAACTTTTCTGGATATATTATCCGTGGCTGGCAATTTTTTCTGTCAACACTGAATATATCATTCCACTCTCTCCTGGCCTGTATGATTTCTGCTAATAAATACACCGAATGCCAAATGGGGGTTCCTTTGTAGGTTACAGTCTATTTTTTCTCTTGCTGCTTTTAGGATTCTCTCCTTGTCTTTCAGTTTTGACACTTTCATTATAACGTGTCTTGGAGGTCATTTTGCATTTGGACAATGGGAAGATCTATTAGCTTCATGAACTTGGATGTCCAAGTCTCTCCCCAGGGTTGAGAAGTTCTCAGCTACTATAACTTTAAATAGACTTTTGCCCCCTTCTCCATCTCTTCTCCTTCTGGAACTCCAATTATTCTAATATTTGTACATATCATGCTGTGCCATAGATTATATAA